ATAATGGGGTAACTCCAAATAATGGGGCAACTCCAAATAATGGGGTAACTTCAAATAATGGGGCAACTCCAAATCATGGGACAACTCTAAATAATGGGGTAACTCCAAATAATGGGGTAACTGTAAATAATGGGTAACTCCAAATAATGGGGCAACTCCAAATAATGGGGCAACTCCAAATCATGGGACAACTCTAAATAATGGGGTAACTCCAAATAATGGGGTAACTGTAAATAATGGGTACTCCAAATAATGGGGCAACTCCAAATAATGAGGTAACTCAAAATCATGGGACAACTCCAAATAATGGGACAACTCCAAATAATGGGGTAACTCCAAATCATGGGGTAACTGCAAAAAATGGGGTATCTCCAAATAATGGGGCAACTCCAAATTGTGGGGCAACTCCAAATCTTAAAGAAAATGAACGTGCTTGTCCTTTGTATTAGTAGTTTCCTCGATTTTGTGTCATTATGAAACTTCGAACAATAAGAATTCCATCAAAACTGGCGATTAGCCTAAATTCAGACAAACTGCAGATCAGCCGAAATCAAATGTACAAGTCTAATACTCCTACAAACCTTTCATCATCATATTTAATAACAGCCACTCTCATACGCACATACCAAAGTAGCCATATCCTGTGTCTTTCAAACACACATAATCTCACACACAAATGCAATAAGCCACTCACTAACCTACCCACAATGAATTAGCCATTCACACACATAAACTCATTTGCATGCACACTGCTTAAAGGACCACTATAGGCACCCAAACCACTTCAGCTCAATGAAGTGGTCTGGGTGTCAGGTCCCTCTAGTTTTAACCATGCAGCTGAAAACATAGCAGTTTCAGTCTCCCTGACAGCCACTAGAGGCTGCTTCCGCGATTCTCGCTGTGAAAACCACAGTGAGAAGACGCTGGACGTCCATAGGAAAGCATTGAGTAATGCTTTCCTATGGGCGGTTTGAATGTGCGCGCGGCTCTTGCCGCACATGCGCATTCAGCGCTGACGTTGGTAGGAGGAGGAGAGGTCACCAGTGCCAAGAGAGCCCGGCACTGGAGAAAGGTAAGTGGCTGAAGGGGTTTTAACCCCTTCAGCTCAGTGGGAGGAGACCATGAGGGTGGGGGGGCACTAAAGTGCCAGGAAAACAAGTATGTTTTCCTGGCACTATAGTGGTCCTTTAATACATTTCTCTCTCACTCTGCTGCTCACTACTGTTGTCATTGAGTTAGGAGAGGGAGAACCCAGGGATCCAAGGACCACCAAGGAAAAACTGTCAGGATTGGTAGCAACCAAACTCATATATAAGGAAAGGTAGACAGGTATCGAAAGACATATTACTAGTTATTAATGTGACTGGACTTAATGAAATCACAGTGAGGAGGAAAATAAGAATCAGCGAACAGGAAATTGTATTTTGTCCTGCAAGTTGGGATCAGGAGCACGTGTAACAATCTCAGGGAAATTTACTAAAGTCAGAATTTAAAGTGCATTTAAAATTTAAGAGCAGAGTAGCTGACAGCCTCTGGAGGAGCTTCCACTTTAATAACTAAGTAAACGTGACGTGATGTTCGATGTTCAGGAGGATGTCACTCAGCATCAAATGCAGCTCATTGGAAAGCATCGGATTTGATTCTTTCCTACGAGAAGCATTTCATTGGATATGTGTGAGGTGCCCACCATGCATGACCATCAAGTCCCCAATGCTCCATTATAAGGAGTGTTGGATCAGCAACAAGTGAGTGATGCCACCTCCATGACATTGTGTGAGACCGATTGGGCTGCAGCACCGAGGGAGTCTTGGCGGTGGAAAAAGGTAAGTAAACCCTTTATTTTACAAACTCTTAGAGCCAACGAGGTGGGGGGAGAGTGTGTGTGTGGGGGGGGGGAGGAGGTTAGTCAATCTAATTAGGGTCAAGGGCTCTATAACATTAGGATTACAGGTTTATTTATCTAACACTGAAGTGTTCCTTTAAGTTTAAAATTCACTTTGAATTCTTACTGTCTATGTTGAAATGCAAGTAGAAAACAACTATCTGGGTCAAAACAGAATCACATATTATCCAAAGGACACAGTGTCAATACAGGAAGTATGAATAGGACCTTAGACACAGATAATGCTGCTATTTATGAATGAAGTGTGATATGACCTGCATCAGACAGATCCCTCCAAAGCCCACACTGACCCACTAGTTTGGGCACAAATGGCATCATGCAGTGTAAGAATTGACACTGGACATTGGATTACCAGAACTGACCATAAAGAAACATTGTAGCAGGTAACGTGACCGACATTAGGAATGTGCTCTGGCTTGTGTTGACAGAATGGATCTACATCTGCCAAGACTGATGTTCTGACCCAGAGGAACACAACAGTGTATAAACTAATAAACTAGCCAAGTAAGGGGTACAAAGAACAAGGACAATAAAATAAGCAGGGTCAATATAAAAAAAAAAACAACAACATTCCGGAACTCAATGTAACCGTTTTAGGGCCTAAACTAAATTAGAGGGTTGATTAATTTGTTAATTTGTAGTGAGATTCAGATGTCGTTATACACCATTCTGCACATGCACTGAAACAGCCAATACCATACCAGCGCATGTACATGGAAACACAAAAAACCCATCAGAGAATGAAGAGGGAAACGGGGCAGTATCGGGGGGTGGGGGGGCGGACTGGGATAACTCTTACAGCAGGAGTAATGGCTACACAGCCAATGGCTGTGACTTGCAGATCGAAGAGATGAAGTATGAATGTATCTAGAGCAAGCAGATGGACCACCTGTCCTGTCAATAGAAGCAGGATGTGCATATTCGTTTAAACACACGAACTGAAGGAGTCTCATGGGGTTATATACTAGAGTTTAAACAGATAGGAATTAAATAATAATTTCAAATATTAGCAAAGTAGCAAAAAAAAAAGCAAACATTTAAAAAAGTCCTGGCAATTTCTGACCAACAATTAGTGCATTACCCTATCTGGAATAGTTTAATCCCATCCATGTATTTTGTCTAGGTACAACGATACTCCATCCCCACTACCGGTATTCATAGGGCACAGATCAACCACTACGTTTAATAACAGAATACAGTGACCAGCAGTTTCGAAATGTACAGTCATTCTTTTTTTGTAACTTTCCCTTTCATAGGTTAAATACTTTCATATTTCATATTTACTGGCAGACTTTGTACATTTTAAGCCAGTTGTATGACTTGGTATTGATTTCCATAACACAATGACTAGTTCAATCAACAAATATTGCATGTATTTCTAATTTGTCCAGTGTCTCGTATAAATATGCTCTTTACGTGTATTACAAATTGGTCACAATAACTTGGCAGATACATTTTACCAGCCATGTAATCATATATTGCCAGCAGTTTGATATTCTGCTCCCAGCCTCTCGTTCCCTCCTTTTTACGACTAAACTAACAAGATTAAAGCCCTAATCTCACCAAATCACCTGAGTCACACTAGAGGTAGCCTTTAAAGGGAGTGACATGGAAACACCCATCTCAGAAGGAGTATTTTTTTTTTTACACTTCGTAGAAATACAGTATATAAAAATATTTTAGTGTCATGTTCACATGTTTAACTCAAAGAGTCTCATCTACTTCCTTCCCACTAGAATCAGTGTAATAAGCTTTGCTTTACATCATGTAAAACTGTGTCAGACTTATTAAATAGCTCATTTCAATTCATTTTGAACGTCGTTGCAGTAAAACATAAGAAATGAATTGTCCTGAAACTGGTGTTCAACATAGAGTCAGGCATTTCAGCTGTGAGGAATGAATTTAAATGATGAATGAATGCAATTACATTTTCAGTTACAGACAAGTGGGCAATCTATTCTTAAAGAGGGACTGTCACCTGCCAGTTGGTGACATTTTAGTGTTTGCTGGGGTGAGGTGTGTGCAACAGAGGTAAGTATAAACACCTGTATTCCTGCACCTGTTTGAAATAACTAAAAGGAGAAAATATATGAGAAATAATGAGAGAGGGATAGCTTTGTAGTTAGGGTTCCAGCTGTTGCATTTTAGAGTCAAAGTGACTGCTGGACTGATTAGTTCAGCCATTCATCTTTCCAATGTCAATAAATAAGTACCATTCAGTTGGGAAATAATAACTCCAGGAAGTACAATGACACGTTAAATGCCCCTATGGGAGATATGTACGTTGATTTGATTAGTAGATGAACTTGAATATTGTTGGTGAACCTTTGTGATCACTGAACAAGGCTAGACCATTTAATCATCTAATGTCACCTAAAGGTCCATTGTCTACCCAATGAAAATGGTATCCTTAAAAATAAGAAAAATGCAAAAAGCTGATGGAACAAGAAACATGTAAAAATAGTTTCTTGACTGCATTATAAAAAATAAATAGGACTGAAACCCAATGCATCATTTTAAAGGACGCAAGTGGTTTGTGAGATTGGCTGGGTGTCTTAACCAATCACATTCCTCCGTTTCAAGCTGGGAAATGACTGGATTAGGTGAATTGGTTGGAATTGTACACAACCTGTCATTATTCTGGGAGGAATTTGAGCACAATTAGTGACAGGGAGGTTGGTCATGACTTGGCACTGTGTTTGTAAAAGAGTGTTAGGCCAGGTAATTTGAGACCTGGTCCATTAATTTCCTCTTAGTGAAACAATTATGGGGAGAGCGTGATGACTTTTTAGTTAGTAGAAAGTTCAGGAAAGAACTGTATTGGATGTTGGAAGAACAAGGTACGCAACTCTAATGCTAGTAAAGTATATTATCAACCATTATACTAATACCCACAGAGAATTAGCAGATTGCTACACAAGTTTTTTCTGCCAACTGCAAAATGGATGAGATGAGAACATTGCATTTGTCACTGTTTCCTGTACCAGTACTGCTATAAGTTGAATTAGACATTAATCTTCTGCACCAGTTGAGAAGGCCCGCCGGTAGCAGGATGAAAAAAAGCTTCTCCTAGACTGGCCCTGTGCTTCCTCGATAGGGAGCATTGGTGGGTGCAGAACACAGCAAGCATCCTGGTTGCAGTGATTCTAAATGACTCCAAGCGCAGCTGCCCCACTGTGCCATCAGGGAGTATATCCACTCCTTCCCAAAGCTTAGCAATAGGTGGCAATATTTGTTCTAATGGAATAACACGTGGGGAGATGTCTCTCCACACACACAACACTCAACCATCCCACAAAACACTCAGCCAACCCACGCAGTGTTCAGCCAATTCACTCACCGAACACTCAGCCAACCCCTATACTCACAACACTCAGCCAACCCACACAATTTTCAGCCAATTCTCAGCCGAACACTCAGACAACCCCTATACTCCCAACATTCAACCAAGCCATACACATAGGCTATGCACACACACAATACCCCAACTCACAGCTTCCCAACACACAAGTGATACCAACACAAACCACAAAACATGGGGGTTTTTTTCACGCACACAACATATGCAGCCCCAATCCCACACACAGCCTTTTCCACCACCTATGCCAAAATGCAACAAATATGGCCTCCCTACAGCTTGCCTAAAGACACAACAGACAACACGCAGAATGTACATGCAAACAACATATACTGCCTTAGGGACTGAGATTCCCTCCAAATACAACAAGGAGCTTTCTTGTACGTTCAAAACCCTCACAGTCAACACATTCAATACAGAGACTGGTGGAGAAACAGTGGGGCAGTTAGTAAGAAAATGAATGAGGAGAAAATGACTGGTGGAGTAATATCAAGAAAGAGAAAGGACATTGGGAAACAGACACATGCAGCATGGGATGAATATAAAGACACTAAGAAAAGAAGCTGTGTGTCCTCAGGCGCCTGATCAGTGATAGAGCCCATTAACAGCGCAACCTTTCATGATTTCAGCGCTAGGAGAAAGTGAAACACAGTACTTCCTCCCAGCTACCACAGAGCTGTGTGGGAGGGAGGCAGAGGAGGGGAAGCAGAGCAGACCTATGATTCCCAACAGCCTTAGGATGCCCACTGGACCCCAGGAAAGCCACCCTCCTGCAACCTAAAGGTAGAAAACAGGCTTAAAATGTTCATTTTGCATGCATGTCTGTATGTGTGTCTGTGTATCTATCTGTATACATGTCTGTGTAGCTTTGTGTCTGTATGTGTGTCTGTGTATCTGTTTGTGTATTTAACTATGTGTCTGTATGTGTATCTGTGTGTCTTTATACATATCTATTTGTCTATGTATCTGTTTGTGTGCCTGTGTATCTGCATGTGTGTCAATGTGTGGCCCTGTGTATATGTTTGTGTCTGTGTACCTGTATGTGTGTCAGTGTTTGTATCTCTATGAGTTGTATTCTGTGTGTCTGAATATGTGTCATTCTGTGTATCTGTGTGTTAATGTGTGTCTGTATATCTCTATGTGTGTCAGTGCATCTGTATGTGTGTCCGTGTTTGTATCTCTATGAGTGTCATTATGTTTCTATGCATCTGCATGTGTCTTATCGTGTGTGTATCTGTATGTGGGTTATTGTGTGTGTATGTGTATTATTGTGTGTATCTGCATGTGTGTCAGTGTGTGTTCATCTGTTTATCTGTATGTCTGTTACTGTGTGTCTATGTATCTGCATTTGTGTATCCATGTGTATCATTGTGTTTCTGTGTATCTGGATGTGTGTCAGTTTGTGCACCCGTGTGTAAGTGTATATGTGTATGTATTTGTGTGTCTGTGTATCTGCATGTCTGTACCTGTGTAAGTGTTTATCTGTGTGATAGCCAGATAAACACATATCTGTGTCAATGTGAGTATCTGCGTGCGTGTCTGTGTCTGGATGTGTCTTAATGTCTGTTTGTATGTGCACGTGTGTATGTGTATCAGTATGTGTGTGTGGCTATGTATATGTGCATACATCTCAGCATTCAAATGTCAACACTGCACACAAATTCACTCCTGCATTCAAATTTTAACAATACATAGACACACCCCTACATTCAAAGACAAACACTACACACAAGCTCCTACATTCACACAAGCTCCTAAACACATGTTTGCATTTAAACACACAAACACTGCTTAATGCTAAATACAACCCAGCAAGGATGGACAAATGGTAGATTCCCAGCTGGCAAAGTATCGTGGGAGATGTACAACAGATGGCAATTTACCTTTTGGCCATCCTTCCGATAAAGGGGGCCCAAAACAATTCTTGCACCAGGGCCCTCTGCCACTGACTGGGAGAACTATGTTAAATAGATTGGCAGTGGAAGAAATAGATTGAAATCCTTGTACTGACCCTGCTGCAGATTGAACAGTAGTCCCATGGAAGCTTACTCTTTGAACTCTTAGTTCCTCGCATATTAGGTGTTTTAGGAGAATTACAAGTAAGTGACAACCATCGTCCTTTTTTTTCTTTATAAACATCACCATGCCCATATGCAGCAAAATGTCCTGCTTATTTATCGGTGAGTTCAAATCACTTACTCAAATATAATGACCTGGAAAATAAGCTGGGTATTAATTTACCATTCAGCCATTAATTTAAAAAAAAAGAAAAAAAAGCTGTATTACATTATTATTATACTTTGCATTGAAGTTTCACTTTTTTTCCAAACAGACCCAATTTGCACTGAAACACATTTTCAATTCTTGGCATAACTGTCAAATCTGTACCCAAACTGCCATTAGTAAATTCTTACATCTGGCTTTTTTCTTTTTTTTTTTTATTCAAATCAACTATTTTACACACAGGTTGCAATAACACATTATTAGAATAAATGCATTATTTTCATAAGGTCGGTAAATATTAAACCCCAATATTACATTGTCTTTCAGGAATTTGACATCGCATACAATTCTCAGCACAGATTACAAATGCTTTTAAGTTAAATGGGAGAGTTATACGTTTGTGGACACAACATAAAACCTCATAGAATGTCTGGAATGTGTGTGACAGGCCCGCCTTAGAATCCCGCGTTTCACTTCAAATAGTTCAAGTACTTTCATTGTTTTGAGTCAGTTCTTGCTTCCTTAACGAAGAAGGAATGTTTTGTGGTTATGCTTAATGTTATCAAAGTAACGATTCGCAAGCTCAGTTACAACTTGCAGATAAAATATGTTGTCAAACTATAACGCTGAAAGCAAAACAAAGATTTTTTTTTTCGGACATGGTCAGTTGTTTTTAAATCGGGTGTCTCAAAATACTAAAATAATATAGAAATTGATCCCTATAGAGGATCAATAAGTTGTGTTGGGGAGCTTCAAGGGCATAACCCACAGAGCATTGGAGAATAATAAATATCTCCATAGAACCCTACTAAAAGAGGAAAAATGGAAATGAGCAAGTCCCTAAAAAATTATAAGGAAAGTTTATTAAAAATTGGACAACATTTTTTTTAATCAAAAGTATTCAAGGACTCAAATAATAATAATAGTCAAAAATAATAATAAACCCATCACCTAACAAAAGAAAATATATACATATGGACTCTCCTAATTAGATCTCAGTCTATGGATTGAATATAGGGACGACATATGATTATAATCCCACAAAGGAAAATGGCCCTGCAATATAAACCACAAATGATCCTAAGAAAAATAACAAAGAGGACTGTTACAGAAAAATGGTACTTAATTAGTGTAGATGCTCACTGGGAGTCAAAATATTCATCTGTCTTGATAAAATGATACGTAAGGTAAGTATGTATCAATCGAGTCTCTGTAACACTAACAGTAGTAGTGATTATGTATAATACGTTTGACTACAAATATGGCAAAATACTGTATCCTATTGAATTAAAAACAAATCTATATATCTAAATCTACCTGCATGTCTGTTTGTCTGTCTGTCTGTCTGAGCCATCCAGACTTATTTTACATAGATTGACTTCAGATAGTTAGACTAATTGCAAACAGAAGGGCTCACCCCAGTCATAACAATGTCACAATGACCAAACAACAGAAACTAAGCAACAGCATTATTTTATTTTATTCATATATACATTAATGAAAGCAGGGAGTAAACCGTATAGAGGAAAGATGAATAGCTAATATTACTAAGCAGTAAACCTCCCTCGGTGTATCATCTGCGTAACTAATCGAATTAGCTTCTGCTGGAGTAAATCAGGTGCTCACAATGGGTGTACGTCTATCACAGGTGCAAAGGTAAATCGATTTTCACATTGGATAATAAAACAAAGATTTCAACTATCGAGTCTCAATCTCAAATCACATTCTTTCAAATTTTCTTCACCGCCTTCTCTCCAGCCAGATGGATCTAACATACATAGAGGCAGAGTTCAGAATGGTGCAATGTTATACTCTGAGACCGCATTGTGACCAGACACTAACGTTGCATCACTCACATTCACATCAAACAGTTGTGCATGTACAGTGAATGTAGCCGACTCATTAGTCACAGCTTAGGTTGCTTTTCATGTAGGTACACATCAGTTATGATCACGTCTTGGTACTTGTAAAATGTCAGAGCTATGTACACACTTCACAAATACGAAATAATGTATGCAATGCAAATGTGGACATTTTGTGTCAATAAAGTGTGTTTTAGAATAAACTAAACATCCATCGTATCAGCCCATCCATCTGAAAGACCCAGGTATCAGTCCATCCATCTGCAGAATATGTGTTTCCGTTACTTTTGTAATTTTCATAGTTTCCTTGTGCGGTTTTATGTTTTCATAGTTTCTAAAGTTTCCTTGTGTGCATCTGATGGCCATGCACATCAATAAGTACGTTTAACTCTTGCCTTCCAATAATTGTGTTAACATTTTGCATTGCAATGCACTCGGGACAGAAGCACAGAATGCACGTCAATACAAATCATTTGACCATATGTTTGATGGTTACCCTATATGGCAAAAATAGTTTAGAGGAACATGATAATAAAAGGGTCTATTTCATGGTATTTATCTCCAGATCTATAGATTTTTCTATTCTTGTATTTTTATGTAGTATCGGAACTTTTTACTTTTTTGTCTTGTGCTTTGTTGAATTTCTGCTGTTGTGTGTGCTCTGTGCGCACTATTCTCCTTTGATTTTCATAAAGGTAAAATACATTTTGCATGCTATATTTTACTTTGCTTTTGTGGATCAAGTGCCTGTGAATGCATTGGCCTTATGAAACCAATAAATGTGTCAAGAAAACATTAACGTATAATAATCTGCATGTGTCTTAAAAATGATATTGGCCTTATTTTCGAGATACCTTTTCAATCCAGTCCCTTGCTTTAAAGAGTTAATGTATAACTTATCGTTAAACATACTCAGCTCAAGGAAATAGCTGCACTAAATATTTTCTACTGTGAGAAAAAAGAGAGAATCTTTGCTTTAGGGAAAGGAGGAAATATTTCAGTGTGTGTTCAGAGCGTAGGTGGGCGCTTGGTACTAAGTGTCATTCATAAGAGGGAGAGCAGAAAAAAACTTTCATTCTTTTGTAAAAAGCAGGCTTAGAGGTGTCACAACTAGTTTATCAGGAACTACACCCTGAGTCAATTGGAGATATTTCTGAGCTTAGTCATTGATGAAACCTTTCAAAACCTGTTCACATTTTCTGCAATTTGTTTGTTTACCTTTAAACTAACTTCCTTCCCCGCTAACCATCCTTCATGTATGTAAAACTTGCCATACGTACAACGCTCAACAACAAAAAAATAAACATGGTATAAGGAAATTCGACAAATGGTTTATTGAA